TCATGTAGGTCTCCTAATGCACTATTCCGATTACACATAAAATAATAATGAGCAATTGAAATAATACTTAAAATCTGTAAAATTTGCCTTAACAATAAATATATATATAGAAATTGTAAAACTTATTTAAAATATAATTTAATATCGTTTAAAAATGCTTTAAGATTCAAAACCAATAAATCCCTAGTTTCTACAGGTAGTTCCTCCCAAGCTCGTGGAAACAAATGAAACACAGAATATTTCAGAGAATTTGTTCGAGCATATTGATGTAAAAATTTAAGATGATCACCGTGTCTAGAGTTGATTGTTATGTAATTAAAAATATTAAAATCATAAAAGCCATGAAGACATTTCGCAATAATAGAAATAGTAAGAAGCTTAAAACGTTTTTCAACTGAAATTAGACCGATAATGTCAAGACGTTGTGCATATGTAAGTTTCCTCCCTTGTTTTGGAACACAGGCTCGAGTCATCCTGTGTTGGACTTGTTCTAAAGAGTTTAGATGCCCCTTCTGATGCGGCAGCCATGCGGGGATGGCGTACTCTATAATTGGACGAACTATTGCACAAAATAATTTTGAAATTACAATTTCGTCTCTACAGCGCACGATTCGTTTAATGAACCCCAGCATTTCAGAAGCCTTAGATCTCGTCTGCGAAACATGCAACCCCCAGTCCAATTTTGAAGTAAAAGTTATTCCTATGTATTTATAAGAGCTAACCTGAGTCAGAGAGTTTAAACCAATATTATATACATGAGCACTATTTTGTAGCCTTGATGACCTAGTTATGCGCATCGACTTGTACTTTAATGAGTTAAGGAGCATCTTGTTAGTTATGCTCCAATTAAGAATAATATTCAAATCATTTTGGAGCGACTGCTGGTCAGCAGGAGACCTAAGGGCTCTATATAAAATTGTATCGTCCGCATATTGTAGAACGTGTGAAGAAACATCAGACGGCAAGTCAAGTACAAAAATATTAAACAGAATGGGGCCAAGAACAGATCCCTGAGGAACACCAGATTGCACGTTACAGGTATTGGAAGATGCTCCTCGAAAGACAACTTTTTGAGATCTGCCATCTAAGTATGATACAAACCACTGCAAAATAGGCCCACAGATTCCGTAAAGATGTAGCTTATTAATTCCGTAATGATGTAGCTTATTAAATTTAAAATTCTTTTAAATCCATGTACAGAAAAGAAAAGAAAAGAAAAAAAAGAAGCCCATGGGTTTCTTTTCGAGGCTAATTTTGCAAACTAAAAGGGGGCTTCAAATCAAGATGTGCTTCGTCTCGAGATTAAGACCATTGGGCTTCAATTCGAGATTTTACGGTATAATACACATACTGTACTTTATTTGAGAGGGAGTTGTTTAAAAGGTTAAAAGAAAACTACGACGTCTAGTCTGTTAAAAAGTTTTGAAATGACAATTGTCGTTTAATAGTGCAAATAAAAGAAACGCATAATAGAACTCGCCACAGGTAAAAACTGGATCACCGAATTGCATGATGTGTATGTTGTACTAACGTAAGTTTGTTTGTTTATCATTTCATGGGGTGTCGCTTACGTTGGGATATCAACAAACATCATTCGTTTTGGTGTCACTTGGTAGGAACCATAGAGCTATTAAACAACTAGACTAGAGTGCTGACAAGATGGCGCAGCAATGCAGAGTTATGTATGTGTACCATCCAAGATGGCCGTCGTAGTAAAGCGCCACCTTCAGGCTTAGTATACATATTATTACATATTAATAAGCCCTCTTACTGACTATTATTTCATTAATGATAATGAGTAATGGTAATAACAAATTATTAAACTATTGTAGCCAAAACGAGGCCAAGTGGAGCATCTTATTCAAAAATACAGTACCAAGGAATGAAAATTAAAATCGTGTACATTACACTCAAACACCGCAACGCTCGAGTTTTAAACATACGGGTAACTAGCTGTACCGAACTTTCTGAGTAAATTGAGGGCGCAATTGCAAACGATGGTGCTTAGCGAAATTTGATTGGCTAAATCTATGGCAGCCATCTTGGATGGTACACACACACACACACACACACACACACACAGTTCTGCGTATTTCGAACATCGAATACATCGCGGTTAGCGCTCTAGTATTCTTATTATATCTCTATGGTAGGAACTCTATTATTGGAAAAAGAAGTGCGCCGCGTACGTTGGGATATGCGTAAAAGATATGACGTATATCCGCGTCCAAGTTCTAACTTGTGTTTCTAGTATCTTTGGTGTAAATGCATTCGAAATGTTAATAAATATCCCAGATGCAAACAATTTGCTCCAAATGGTTTTATTCAGGTCTTCATTACATATACAGATAAACCATCAAAATTAAAATCAAGTGATTAGGCTGAATGCTTTTTGAAATTGGCTCAAAGTTTGTTATTTTTTTTCCAGATAAGTATTAACTTATGTAAATAGTACTTTACGCAACAAGACGGGAAGACCGGTGGACGGTGGTTTTGTGATCATCAGAGCGTGAAGACCACAGTAAAAGCTGTTGTCGACGGCTCCCCGTCCTCTTGCGTAAAGTGCCTAATATTGGGGTATACATTAATTTGTTGTTGTTGAGTTGTTACAGCAAATATCAAGAAATATGTCGTCTAAACCTTTATCATAAATGATAAATTACAAAATTTATCAAGATGTCATCATGTCAGCAAGAAGCGGTGATTTCTAATGTTAAACGTTATAAAGATACGAAAAGACAAAGTACGAATGCGATATACAGACAAAACACTGTTGTTGACAATAGTAAACTAACACTCCTCAATTACACAATTAATAATTAATTTTATCACTGTTAAATATCCATGAGCCATAGACTGATATCGTGATAAAATAGAAATAATAAGTGTTGTTTTCAATACTCAAAACAGATTATTTATTCTAAATTGATATAGTATTAATCGGAAAGACGTATAAACAAAAATAGTGTAAAACATGATAGCATTAATAATAATAATAATAATAGTAATAATAATAATAATAGTAATAATAATAATAACAATAATAGTAATAATAATAATAATAGGCCTACTAATAAAAAAAATAATAATAAGAAACATAATAATAATACAAGTAAATAATATTATAAAATACTGGTTTAGACTATTACATTTATACATAGAATCGCATACCAATGCTATTTATTTCAATTAAGAAAGAGACGAAGAATGTTGGGCAATACACGTTAAAAATCATTATTCTCAATTAGTTTAATTTATTAATGATTTAAGATTATGTTTACAGGACATACAACAACAGAAGTTCATTGAAGACACTAGATCTTATTCAAAGTTACGTTGTTTTATAAAGTTTAAACAAAGAATTCATATAGAAAATTATTTACTTCAAATTAAAAATTTTAAACAAAGAACTATTAACCACATTTCGTTTAGGAATCCTCGATATTGAGATTGAGAAATGGAGATTGTATGGGATTTTTATGTTACTGAAATGAAATAGAAGACTTTTACATGAATCAAGCATCGTATTCAGCTCCTACAGCATATGTCAAGAATGTTGTAAGCACGAATGACGATAATGATAATGACGTATTCGTATTCGTTATCGTTTTCGTAAGACACAGATCACCTTGTACTACAACAAATTCTTAATTGATTAGTAATTCAGTTCATAAATATTGATTAAACTAATTAAAATAATAATATTTATGCATTTGAACAATATTTTTTCCATTATGATTTTACTGGCTAATCAGAAAGGCTCGGGACACGCAATAGGCCTATATCTTTATCTTTTATTCTATTAGCCTTTTAACGATTAACTGTTGAGATAATAGAATAAATATATGTAGAGTAGGAGAATATTTACTGCAGTGTAAAAATAGATTTCTGTTACATCTATGAAGAAATTTAGCAAATATATTTATACAAAATGTATGAATATTATCTTTAAGTTGTTCTATGTTGTCTGTGTTGAGATAGGGAATCACGTACAACACAAGATTGTACGTCGGCTGTACTACAACATACGACTATATTTGATTTCCAATTAGAAACATTAGAATGGCCACAGAGATAAGACACATGATAGATTTCTGGTACATTTTTGAGAAATTAAGTAAGCTAAACATGACAAACTTCCTGAATCGTTTATATTTTAAGTTCTTGCGAAGATGAACCTTTTTGGTATGTGCTATTTGTGTAGATATGGGGAATCACGTTATACAACTATAGGCTATTTGGTTTTCATTGACGAACATAACAATATCTATACTGCAGAGCTTTATGTGACAAATTTGTAATTTAGAGAAAGTGCTATATAAATATTTTAATTAAGCACATTGGACACAAATGACACAAAAGGTAGCCTGTATAGTACAACGTTGACACATTATCACACCCTTTTTTATACGGGCATGATGATGACATATCACACCCAAATGTGCAAGTTGAAAGCATTTGTCACATAAAACGGGTGTGAACAGAAAATAAGACACATCATAGATTTGCGTGGTAGTAGGCCTAACCTACATTAAAAGGTTATTTACATATACTCATTGGGGATATTCAAGAGTGGTTATAGGAAAAGGACCACTGCGGATATTTGGTTATTCTAGACTTACGTTTTTAATTTACAAATAAAATCGGTGAATTAAAATACCTGTTACATTTAATTATGTCTGGGAAAACGAAAACAAATGGATAAATTTAGGTAAAATTTAACCCACTATCCAGTTTTTAGACAGTAAATAAATATTAGTCATATTTTGTTAAAGTTTCGTAGAATACATTATCGATAAATATCGATGAAAATGGTTAACTAAATTCCAAAACTAGTGGAAATGTTCTAGTATATTTGGTCAATCCCGATTGGTCAGTGACATTTTGCATCGTCTGCAACTGATGGCCAGATGTTGATGGATTGTCATACGTCTGCAACTGATGGCAAGATGTTGATGGATTGGCGTAGGCAATCTTGTGTTCTTGAGGTTGCACATTGGTGGAGGATATTGATTGCAGTGCCCCATGTTGTCTACGATGTTCACTGGTCCGACTGGGTACAGAAGAGATCATACCAGATGAGTGCAGATGATTAGAACTTCTCTGTGTTCCAACCGTCGTCATTTGTGAATGCATACTTGTATGCTGAATTATTGATTTAAGTCCCATTCTAGGTGGTTTGCCGTCGTTTGAGTCTTTGCTACTTGGTATAGCAGCAAGCAGACCTTTATAAAATAAAAACAACTTATATTAATAATAATTGTATCTAATAAAAAAAACACCCTATATTAATAATAATTTTATCTAATTATGTATATAGTAGTATGATAATAGTGTTAATTAGTGTGAATATTAAATTACTGTAATTGTGTCAATTACAGGCGAAAATAGCTGTTACCCTATTCTGGTTTGATAAGGCTATTGATTTTAATACTACTATACTCACTAGGTCCAGCGTAGTGGGATAGCTGACTGTAAACTTGTTTCATGCGCTCGATGTTGAGCCGACTGGCTTCTTCATGATCTACCATTGGAAAAGGGTAGTCTTTTCCTACGGAATTTATAAATTGATTTAAAGATTATATATCGGTCCATCAACCCTTTATTTTCTTTAATCCTTTAACATACAAAGCGATTATAAAAAAATGTAAATTTATTTTTGGATGTAAGAAACCATTAAAAGGATTTCAGGGCAAACGCTCTACATTAGATATTTCAAAAACATGTCAACTGATCTGAATGAAACTTTGGGGAAAGTTTAACAAAGTTATAAGGAAGAAATTATTATGTGTTGGTGACGATCCAGTTTAGAGTGTTTTATCCAGTTTTAGAGTATTTCCAACGTCCCAGACCTTCATATCTCCAAAAAATGAAAATGAAAATTGTCAGAATAGTTTGTCGTGGTCCAATGAAGAAATCATTAGGTTTTGGTGACGAACTGGCTTAGGGTGTGGCTATGAGGACTAGTCAAAGGAAAAAATTCCCAGACTAGATATTCCAAAAAATAATGGACTGATCTAAATGAAATTTTTAGGAAAGTTTAACCAAGGTACAAGGAAGACAATATCAAGTGTTGGTAATGATCCAAATTCGGGTGTGAATTTGAGGGTCATTTAAAGGGCTTACGTCACAGTTATAAATGGATCAAAATGAAACTTTGCAGAATAGTTTGTCATGGTCCGAAAAAGAATAAACGCAATTTGCGTTTCTGAAGTGTTAAACCAGCTACAGCTAGGTTAAACTCAAAACTTATGCATGAACAATTTTTGCTTTCAGTCACTGAGTCGCATGAACGTGTACTGGGCTATACAAGGTAGGCTCATATAGCACGCAATGGTTAGGAGTCTCGATGTACCTCCTTATTACCATTGCAGAATTAGTTCGAGTCTCACTAACGTCTCAGTAGTTGTGAACTTGGCTTTAGTTTTTTTTTTTACTTCATAATTTGTTTAGTTTCGTTTCGCTTTATTCAAATTTTCCACATACAGTATTTAACATACAGATGATGGCGTAATAATATGCAGAGGGAGGCCTAAATAATTGTAACAAGAAAACTTTAAAGCCCAGGCCCCGGTTTAGTACTATAAGTATTTTGGGTTTCCATGTTTCTTTTTTACCTTATACTTTTTAACGACATTTTTTGTTGCAATTTCAACTTTATTTTTGATTGAAATGAGCAATGAGGAAGAGCCCTGTGTTTTGTTGTACAAACAGACATAGTAAGTCTAGTTATTATGATTGCTGAAGAGGCATGTTGGGGAAGCTCTGCTAGAAAACAATACAAAAATAATTATCGTTTTTAATGGAATAGTGTATGTGCAATGTCATGTCTGGTACACAAATAAAAACTAATCCAGCATTTTCATATCTTAATGTATATTTCAACCATAGGCTAGTTGAAATATGATGTCAAAAATACTTTCTTTAACACTCCTTGAATATTGCATACCCCTCTCCCTCGATAATCATCTTCGATATGCCCTATTCTCCTAGAACATATTCTCAACAACTCATTTCATTCATTCATTTATTTGTTCGACCAACATTTATAATCAAAATGACAATAAAATACAATATGTAAAAAACAAATTAAATGCTGAACTGGGGTAGCTTAAATGAAATACATTGCTGTAATTCAGATGAGCCAGCTACCGCATATTTTTACGCCGTGCATTCGCCCTTCCTCTCCGTCACACAAACACCTTGCACATATTGTTTGAACTTTTATTTTGTGTATATTTGTTGCGTGTATATGTATATTTCTATGTGTTAACTTATTATTTTTACTTGATTGCATTCGAAGCTATGAATGGAATTGAATTAATCAACACCAAGAATAACAATGTAACTACACATTCTGAATTTAAAAATACAGCATAATATAATTACGTAATATGGACTAACCTACAATACACTTGGCCTGAATTTGAACTTCAGTAGGAGCCTCCCACGGCGCGTAGATGTATTTGGTGGGAAAGTGTTTCAAAACAGGCAGGTACTTCCTGTACAAAAATTGAATTAAATGTGATAAACTGCTTATAAATAATGGAAGTGTTGCTAATAAATATACTAGTGCTGAATGAATTAATCGTGACTGAATAATACAACTACTTTACTGACAATTTTACTGTAGTGTATGACAATGTAATGACAGACAAAATTTATTAAATAAGCATGATGATAGTTAATGTATTTACTAATTAGTTAATTGACAATAAAACTATATTATGATACTTTTCGTGCTGACGAGGTTGAAGACTAATGACTGCATATTAAGACTATTTTACAATCATGTTGATAAGGAGGATAATCAACATTTTAATAAAGTTGATAACATGATCAAATCTATGTTACTCATAACACAATAGTGTAAATGATGGGGTGATGATTCTTATCACCGAATAACTTACACCATGGAGGTATTACACAAATGCTCGACAAACCTGACATAGTCTCCACTGGGATCTGTACGTTTTCCAAACGTAACTGGGCAGTAGACATGGAAAAATTGTTGAAAGAATGAACTGCATGATAACCAGATCCAGTTTCCGGCATTGATACTCCAATCAGCATCAAGCAATAGCTCTTCAAATACCTACAAAGAGGTTTAAATTTGTATATACAATTAGTATCATTTCTTCAAATTCCTGAATCAAATTCTTGTGTGTATGGTCAGCGCATAATCACTACACTCACTCAATCATTCCTTTTATCACAGCAACATTTTAAAATCTAGTCTAGAAAATACTCTTGATAAATTCTTATTTCAAGAAATATTTTCTAAAATTAAGGAAGTTTTAAGAAAAAAAAAGTATTGACAAAATAAATTTGACTGATAATAAGAAAAATGGAATTGAGAAGTTTCATTTATTCTTAAAACAAGAATAATCAATCAATTAATTCCTTTAACATCACTTAAGAAGTATCAGATGTACAGATGGCGAAAAGTCTGCTAACCCCTATCCCCTTGATACAGGTGAATGTGTTTTATCGGTATATTTAGGCATGTCTGTGCATTCGACACTATTGATCATAATATTCTCCTTAATCGCTTAATTCACATTGGTATCTCTGGTTCTGCACTCAGTTGGTTCCAGTCGTACTTAATATCACAACGGCAATGTGTTAAAATTAAATCGTCTATTTATGATCCTGTTTTTTTTTTGTTGTTGAATGTGGCATCCCACAGGGATCAACTCTGGGTCATACACTCATGACACTCTGGGTCATATACAAGCATTTATGCCGTTACCATGTTTACGCGGATGATATGCAGTTGTACATCGGCTTTAAACCTGATACGATGAACGATGCAGTTGATCGTGTTGAAAGTTATCTTGATGAATTACAAACTTGGCTATCTGAAAATATGCTTTGTTTTAATCCTAGAAAGGCTGAAACTCTCGTCATACACTCTGGCATCGTTCCAACTCACCTAATCTGCAGTGTCTCCGCGTTGGTAATACAACGGTAACTCCATCACTGGAAGTCTGTAATGTTGGTGTGACGTTTGACAACACGATGTCTCTAAAGCAACATGTTACCAACGTTTGTTAATCTGTCAATTATCACACCGTAAGGAAAATCAGACTTCCTGAACGAAGACGCAACTAAAAAACTTGTTCATGCTCTTATAACTTCAAGACTTGACTATTGGAATGGTATCCTATTTGAACTTTCAGACACTCTTATAAAAAAAATTACAACTACATCTTAACTCGGCCGCACATCTAATTAAGCTCACCCAAAAGTCACAGAACATAACGCCAATACTCCAAGACCTACATTGGCTTCCAGTTCGACAGCGTATCAACTTCAAAATTCTTCTTCTTGTGTACAAATCGCTCCATAACCTATCACCCACGTACATGCAAGATCTTCTCAGGCTACGCTCATCCACTTGTTCCCGAGCACTCAGATCAACTACAAGTTCATCAATTTTGTTTGTTCCTGGGTGGCTTCCGAAAACATATGGTGAGAGGTCACTTTGTGTTGAGGCTCCAAAAATGTGGAATGCACTACCCGTTGAAGTCCGTGAATCTGCGTCAATTGACATCTTTAAGAAGCGACTCAAAACTTTTCTATTTGCCTCTTTATAACTACTTTTTTCTCTTTTTTTCAATTTCTCTGTTTCACCTCGCTTGCTAGTGATGTTTGTTCCAGGTTAGACTGTTCGCCATCTATACATCCGACACTCCTTAAGTGATGTTAGAGAAATTGTTTGATTGTTTTTGTTTTAAGAAATAATGAATCTTCTCAACTCCAGTTTTCTTAGTATCAGTCAAATTTATTGGCAAGACTTTCTTTTTTTTAAAACTTTCTTATTTAGAAAATATTTCTTGAAATAAGAATTTATCAAGAATATTTTCTAGACTAGATTTTAAAAATTTGCTGTGTAAAAACTGTGTTTATTATTTGTCTTCAATAATATGGCTTAAATTGCTTTATTTTATACAAAACTAAAAAAAAACTTACCCTGGTTTAGTAGCATGCCATATCAAAATGTAATATATATACATATATATATATATATATTATATATAAACATACATACATGTCTATGCATATGTACATATATATATCATATATATGTGTGTGAGTATTTATGAGATTAGGCATAAGAAGTTACTATTATTCAATCATACACATGTAACGTAAACTCTATCAGTTACGCTAATAAAGTCCTGAGGTCTAGAATATCAATTTATTTCCTAAACAACGTTTGATGTTCTACTGTCCATTTCTTTTCTTTTCTGAACTGTTTGTATATATAATATATATAGGCCTACATATATATAAATGTAATATAATATACGTTTTATATCATATATATATAATACGTTATATATCATATATATAATATATATACAGCAATATTCTTATGATTCAAAATTTATTTTGCTTTCTCAAGATTCAGCTATAAGTCTGCTGTTTGGTTCTGCAGAGGAAAGTGCATGAACTTAATAAATATAAATTAAAAACTAGAGTTCTACTGATATGATCAAAATATGACCAATTTTCCTGTTCCATTTGTGAATAACATCATCGGATCTTCTAATAGCTCACCTGTACAGTTTGGTCGAAATATTTGAGTCATTTTGTCATCAACAGATTCCTTCACTCAGGACATTGCAAGCAGATGCAGGTTCACTTAACCTTCCACCCAAAACACTTTTATAATATCCATCGATACTTATCCAGGAAAAAAAATGTTCATCCAATCTTATTCGTAAGATTAGACAATCGTGCTTTTCTTCTTTTTTAAAAAAAAAAGCTTGATAAGCTTCTTAAATCAAATTACACCAAAGTATTCAGAATAGTGCCGCCCGTATAAGCACACACACACATTTGATCATATTAATCCGATTCGTGAGGAACTTCATTGGCATGCCAATTAAGTTTAGAATTCAGTTCGAATAATACTCTTCCTGACGTCGTACAAAATTACACTTGCTTAATCCTACTTGGAAATCTTGATCTACTCCTAAACTTTTATAATGCATGCACGTATATCCTACACTCTCATAATCTGGGCACTCCGTTATTTTGGTCGCTGATTATTGTCCAGTGCTGTACCTACCTTTATTATAATATTCACTTTTGTGGACTAAAATGTACCACGTTTAATATTATGAATGTCACTGAATATAATCTTGTATTATGAATACTGGCGAAATATATTCAATCAATTCTAATCATTGTAAGGCTGTTTATTTAATAATTGCACTGTATATACAGTGCACCCTCTAATTCTGAGACCACTCTACCCTGAGATCACTTTTTCAAAGAACCAAATAACAGTATTCAATCTGTTAACACTAAGCTAACCCATGTGGAGACCGAACCCCGGGCCCGCCCAAAATTTCCATGTCCCAAAGCTAGTTTTAAGTTTTTGAGGGCGAACTGTACTATTTTTTAAAGTTAATTATCTGGGCTTATTCATGCACTTTTCAGTGTTTTGTATAAGCGTATCTCCCAACTTTGTTGAGCTATCCTTTAATATATTTTATATTGTTACCAAAGTTGTATCCGAGGGGTACAGCCGGCCAGTCCCGCCCGTAAATCTTTCAAAATAAAAATAATGAAAGAAAAAGAAAATTGCATCAAAATTGAGAATGTCTTTCCGGCCATTTAGAGGTGACATAGTCATCGGGCTGTGGTGGAAGGACCTTCTATACGTGAAAGTCTCAGCGTTCCTGTACCCTATTATGGAATTACCTTAAGGCTGAGCATGTGTTCAGAGACGTTCCGCTACGCAGGCCATCGTTGCATCGTAAAGTGGTGTTTGGTGCAAAGGAGTACTGTAGATTTTCACGCTGAGAGTTTCCAAAACTCGACACTGTTGCAATGTCATGGCGTTATCGCGCCTAGCCTGGACACGAACCTTTACTGGATTGCTTTGTGATGACTAGCTGTTCTTAAAGAATAGTGAATACCAGCTCGGATCCCAGTGAAGTGTTCGTGTTTTTTTTAAAGTAATGACCGAGGGTTCATCATCGCCACATGATCTTTTCTCAGTCTCACCGGTGGTGCCAGGATCTGCTCTACTGTATTGTGCTAAGCTGCCCTGCCAGGTTTGAGATTGTATTAATCCAAAGATATTTTTTTCTTTTCTGGTTTCATGAATTATGGTCGACGGCGGGTGTTGTAACTCACACGGAGTTGGCCCTGTCTTCATTTGGCACTGCCACATCTTAGTCTGCAGTTTTACAGCTAGTTATTTGTTATTAATTTATTGGCTATATGACAAAACTTCAGACTGTACAGTATAACTAAACTCAATTTATCTAGGCCTATGTAGAAACAAACACACGTTACAGAACCGTACGATCGATCATGGTGGCCAACGCCCTGTCTTCATATTCATATATATATAAAAACTTAATATAACTAAACTCAACATAATATTTAGAAACAAACATACGTACGTTACATTAGGAGAGAAAGTGATTGAATAATTGTAACTTCATTAGTTACCTTCCGTCCTATATATACATCTGTATTAATTGGTAAAATTACTAAAAAAAAAAGTGCCTCTTACAAGCTTTGTGTTCTGTATGGACATTTTATATGAATCTAATAATGAAGTAATGATGGTTGCTTCTCTTTATTTTAACTCTTTGAAATTGTTTATATTTATCTAAACATATGTAAAGTTTGTTGATTCTCCATATGCCAATATTGTACTGCTTATAGAAAAGCATTTATCGTTGTAGTTTTGAAACATACGAGGGAACCTAATGTGGATTCAATACGTATTGTCTTTTATATTGCAAAACTAAAAATCTTTTTTTAAAGTCTTTTTTTGTATTCACCTACATTGCATTCATGCTCACACAAACTATCCAAACATATAAAACATGCAATTTTACACAAGTTTAAATTACACAGAAAATTGGATTTTCCAAAAGTATTTTGTTCCAATCCTTTTCGTGTGCGTTAAATTTCAGACATTGTTCTTTCCTCTTTCACTACGTTTATGAGGTTTACTTTTTTCATGTGCATCAGCATAACGTGGCTACTTCTTAAAAATAAATTACAATTTTAGAAGTACGTTACTGTATTGATTTGATGGTATTTGGCAAAAGGTTAGAC